TATAGCACAGATATGATCTCTTTTTTTTAGTTTTCAGAACTCTGGCTGCAGCATTTTGGATCAGCTGAAGGCTTTTAACTACAGTTTGTGGACTTCCTGATAGTAAAGAATTACAATAGTCCAGCCTTGAAGCAACAAATGCATTTTTGCAATATCCCGCAGATGAAAGAAGGAAATTCTAGAACTGCATGCTTAACTGCAACGCTCAATTTTAGTAGCACTTTCCCAGCTTCCTCTTCTTTCAGTTTTTTTTTAAGTCATTTTTTTCATGATGTTAAAAATAGTTTAACTGAATTTAAATGTGTTCTGTTTGGACTCTCTGCTGGTGCTCCAAACTAAAAAAAAAATACATATTTTCCTACAGTTTCCTAGCTCCCACACTGAGGTTGGTTGTGATAAAAAAAAAAAACAAAAAAACTGAGCTTCACTCAAAGAAGCTCAAAGGAGCCCAGAGCATGACACTGCCACCACCGTGTTTCTGGGTTTACAGTCAGTTATTTTATTTTTATTTTTTTTTTTTTTGCTAGTTTTTTTTTTTTAGTGGAGTTGTGCAGAATATTTATAGAATGTAAGATTATTTGTGGAAAAGGTTTTCATCTTCAGGGCTGTCAGGCTTCAAAGCTGTGTGAATGACTCCTCCTGGTGGAGAAAGGGCAGAACTGCAGCCTCTTTTTGAACTGCTGCTCACAGGCTGAGATGTTTTAAAGCTTCAGAATCGTTTCACTTTGGTTTAAACTTAAGAAACTTTTCTTATTCACCTTTATGTTGTTTTAACAGCAGCTGCAGAAACATCTCATAGAACTTTAGGTTTAATCAATTTTTAATTTGAAGCTGCAAAGTCTGCTTTGATGGAAATTTTAATAAATGTTCAGAGATCAATAATTTGTTTTGCATTCTGCAGTTTTCAAGTTGAGGATTTGTTCAGTAATTTTTTATCTGGATATATTGTTGTTGAACCAGAATCCAGGTCAAATATTCCATTTAATATGGATCCAGTAGCAGAAAAACAGATGATTCTGTTCTTTTTAGGCCTTTGTTGTCATTTATGCTGCACAGTAGTGCAGTGGGTCACAGTCTCGACTTTCCACACCTTTCCAGGTGCCTTCCTTTATCCCACAATCAGAAAACATACCTGGTAGGATAAATTGCCCTGAGATGGCCTCAGCCACCCTGAGGTCCTGCAGGGACCAGAATATTCAGACCATGGATGCGAATCGTGTGTCGTGGTTTCGCTCCAGGATAGAAGGCCAAACCCAACAGATTTAAATCCGCTTCTGTTCCAATCCCATTTTCCTGATCAGATTCTAATCCAGATAAAGTTGTTTGGAAATGTTAAGGTGACGGCATTTAAACTACCTGCTGCAGTGTTTTGCTCTCCTCATACTTCCACAGAACCAACATGTCCTCCCTCTTTGTTGCCAGTATCAGCTGTGGATCTAATTACCACTGCCAACTGAATGAATGGCCTCTACATCAGATCTTCTCTATCCTTCTTTTATTTCTCTCCTTTTTTATTTTCTGGGCTGCTTTGTCCGACCAGCGCTCCTCTCATTTCCTTCTCCGGCTGCTGCCGGCCCTCTTCCCAACAAATCAGCTCCTTTAATCAGGCATCTAGGGGGCGCCGTTCCTCCACAGAGAAACATTTTTGTTTCCAGACTGAAATAAGTTGAGCTTTCCAGCTTCAGGATGGTGATAAAGTGAAAATGTTTGTGTAGTTTTTCAGAGAGAAGGATTAAACTCACCGTGCGAATATTTCCCAGACTGACCATCGTGTCCCAGTTCCTTTGGGTTTCTGAACCAATGACTGTTTTGCTTGCAGAACTCGGGGCGGACTTTGCTCTGTGATGATGCAGACTGCTGGCTAAACCGCCTCCCACTGACCTCTGACCCTTCAGCAGCAAATTGCAGCATCTACAGCCGAGGTGAGCTGTCCTTCATCTGAGGAAGACTCCTCTGAGAATCGCTGCACCGCAAAGACGTCTGATTGTAAATCTGTTCCCTTCCAGGTGAGGAGCTCTACTGTAAACTCACCAGAGAGATCGCTGCTGGGGAGCAGCTGGTGGCCGTCCTGTCACCTCCTCCGCCTCCCTCTTCCTCCTCCTCCTCCCTGGCGGCGCGGCTCTCCCCCCCACTCAGCCTGGTTACTCAGAAACAGCCAGCATTGAAGGAGGAGCCTCAGTACCCGTCGGCGCTACGCTCCGATATTCAGCTGCTGCCTCAGCAGGCTGGCATGGCGGCCATCCTGGCCACCGCCGTGGTCAACAGTGAGTGTTTGAAGAGAACTAAACAGATAACTGCAAGCTTAGGGAATTTGTAATGGGAGAGACCCTCACTGATTTAAATCCACTGAAGACTGTCCTTAAAATGTAAAAAAAAATACATTAAAAAAGACAGATGAGACCATAGAAACACATACATCCTCTAAAGCAGTTCTTCGTCACTTAGACAGTGAAAAACAAATTCTGGAAATTGAATTTTTTTCTTCTAATTTTAACAATGTAACTTTTTTTTATCATAATTTAGTCTCATCCAAATAACCTGCATGGTGACTGGTAACTCATTTTATGTCTTTAAACTTGTTTAATGGAACAATATCTGATGTAGTGTTCAATTTTGGCCACTAGATGGCAGCGCAATGTAGCTAGTAGGATCCTCCTGTCATTATCCTGCACAAAATGTTGAGATGATTTCAGTGGCTTTGGTCTGTTTGGGTCTGTGGTTCTATTCCGTTTGGGTCAAATGGACCTTTAGCTTTCCCCTGTATCATGTGATTCTCTTCTGTCTCTGAACTTTGCGTCTCTTCATCTTCAGAGGACATTTTCCCGTGCAAAGACTGTGGGATCTGGTACCGCAGCGAGAGGAACCTGCAGGCCCACCTGATGTATTACTGTGCCAGCCGGCAGAAGCAGCCAGCCGCTGCCTCCTCTCCCCCCCAGGAGAAGCCCAAAGAGTCTTACCCCAATGAACGCATCTGCCCGTTTCCACAGTGCAACAAGAGCTGCCCCAGCGCCAGCTCCCTGGAGATCCACATGCGCACACACAGCGGTAAGAGCAGCCTCATTGTGGGGCAGGAACTGTTGGATTGTTGGTCGTGGCTAACTTCCTGTGTTCTCCACAGGTGAACGTCCCTTCGTTTGTCTCATCTGCCTTTCAGCCTTCACCACCAAAGCGAACTGCGAGCGCCACCTGAAGGTCCACACGGACATCTTGAGTGGAGTCTGTCACGGCTGTGGCTTCGTCTCAACCACCAGGGACATCCTCTACAGTCACCTGGTAACAAGCCACATGGTGTGTCAGCCTGGATCTCGCAGCGAGGTTTACTCTCCAGGACCAGGCCTTCCGAAGCTGCCCTTGTCCATCGGTAGGTCCAGCTCTCTCTGGGATTATGCGTCTGGTCCAATAAAGCAGAGATTGTTCTGACGTTTTCTCCGTCCACAGGTCTGAGCCCAGGGGACTCTGGCGTAGTGCTTAAGTGTCAGGTGTGCGGACATAACTCTGACTCCCCCGCCCAGCTACAGCAGCACGTACGGACCCACCTGGAGGTCAGAGTGCCGACTGAAAGGAGCCCTACCCCTCGCCATAGCACCCCGCCATCAGCCGAGCCGTCCCCTCATGACAGAGAAGCCCTCGCTTGTGTCCCTAAGCCAGACTCATCCAGTCCAGGTGCAAACGGGGGATCAGCAACTCCTCGTGATCCCAGTCCTCCTGACGCCCAGACCTCAGAGGTAAAGATCAAGGAGGAGCCACAATCAGAGTCTGAGACTGAGGAGCAGCAGATGGAGTGGAAGGAGGATGGCGAGGAGGAGGTTGAAGGTGGAGAGAACCGGGGTCAGAAGGCCAAGGAAGAGCCCGCAACATCCTCTTCCTGCCAGACATCCAACTCCCCGAAAAGTCCCCCAAATTCGACTGTCAAGGCTGAACCAACCAGTCCCACCCCTGGTTCTAGCCCTGCCCATGTTGGAGGAGTGGGCTCGGCGCTCGGAGGAGCAATGTTCCTGCCCCAGTACATGTTCAACCCAGAAGCAGCCATCCTGCCTCAGGCATCAGAGATCCTGGCAAAAATGTCAGAGATGGTCCACAGTCGGCTGAAACAGGGACAGGCTGTTGTCCAGAACAACTCTGCCGCGTTCTTCCCCTCTGGACCTACAGCAGCCGCAGCCACTGCCACTCCACCTCAGAAAGGAGCCACATGCTTCGAGTGTGACATCACCTTCAACAACATCAACAATTACTATGCCCATAAAAGGCTGTACTGCTCCAGCAGGCACCAGGGAGAGGCTGCCGGCCTGGCCTCTGGGTCTGGATCCTCTGGCCCTGCACCGTCAGCTTCTAGCGGACCACAGGCTTCATCTCCTCAAATCGCTGCATCGAGTAGAGCTGCTTCTGTCTCACCCAACAGCTCAGAGCCTCCATCAGGAACCGGAGCAGCAGAATCTAAGAGGCTGGTGGAGGTAAAGACAGAAACTCCTGCAGGGAGAGAAGGAGCATCATCATCCTCAGAGGGGGAGGGTGGCGGAGGAGGAAGGGCGAGTGAAGGTAGTCAGAGTCCTGCCAGTGGGTCCACAGAGGATCTGGAAGACGACCCAAACAAAACTTTCTGCGAGGCCTGCAACATCCGCTTCAGCCGTCATGACAACTACACAATTCACAAACGGTTCTACTGCGCGTCTCGCCACGACCCGTCCAACCACCGGGCTGGCCACATGTCCAAGAACTCCAACGCCACGGCAGTCCTGCCTCAGCCCATCCGCACACGCAAGAGGAAGAAGATGTATGAGATCCACATGGCTCGAACAGAGGCATTGGCCACCGCTGCTGCCGCCACTGCCTCTGCTCCATCTCCTTCTGTTCTGGGTTTGGTGGTGAAGCAGGAAGTTTCTCCCGGAGGCGCCGGCAGCTCCAGCCCCGAAGGAGACGGGCCCATTGACCTAAGCAAGAGACCCCGTCTTAAGGAGACTCCACGGCACAGCGGCGGTGCTGGCATCCTCCCAGCGCTTCCTCTGACCGATTATCACAAGTGCACGGCCTGCAGCATCAGCTTCAACAGCATCGAGAACTACCTGGCCCATAAAACCTACTACTGCCCCGCCACCACCCTGCAGCCCCACACCATGGAGCAGCTCCACCGCCTCAAGAGGTCCGCCTCCACTTCCCCGAAGAGCCGGCCCCAGCAGGAGCGGCTGGACCTGCAACACCCCACCGAGGCCAAAGCTCTGCCTGCTGAGTGGGTTGCCCGGGCACAGGGGGCGTCCCCCAGCCCCCGCCCCTCTGCCTTACCTTCCTCTGGAGCTGCATCGCCCTCACACACCGGGGCCACCCTCGCTGCTACCCCTGGAGCCGGAGCTAAAGGCGCGGGCCCCGGGTCCCTGGTGGTCTGCCCCTACTGTCCAAACCGGCCAATCACCTGCGACCTGATGGAGCACTTTAAGACCGCCCACGGCCTGGTCTTAGCCATCCAGCCCCCCCCGGAGAACCTGCCCCGCCCCAGCAGGGCTCTCAGCTGCAGCCCCAGCCTCAGTCCCAGGGACGGAGCTGCCCCCACCCCCCAGGCCAAGCCGGCCTCCCGGGTCCACAGGGACAGCATCAACGGACAGAACCGGAGCGCCGCCGCCTCCCCCATCTCTCCCCAGGTGAACGGCAGCCCCTCTGCTGGGGGGAGTTCACCCTCTGCAGCCTCACCTCTTCCTGTCTCCCCCCCCAGAGCCCCCTCTGTGACTGTGTCCCCGGAGCCTCTGCGGGAGAAGGTGGCCCCCACCTACCTCCCGGAAAGTGCTGCTCCCACCGCCGCAGTTCATCCCGTGGTGGCCGTCAGCGCCGGCCCTAAAACCGCGGTCATCTCTCCGGTCCAGAATGGGAACTCTCGCTTCTGCCGGCTGTGCAACATCAAGTTCAGCAGCCTCTCCACCTTCATAGCCCACAAGAAGTACTACTGCTCCTCCCACAGCGCCGAGCACGTTAAGTGAGTCCCCCCCCCATGGATCAGGTGCAGAACGGCTCCCCCTGCTGGACCAATCCGCAGAATGACTGTTACTCAGCCTGCAGGTGGCGTTACCGACTCTCCCAGCAGTTTTCCTCCTCTGGGCCAGTTTTCACACTAAAGGCAGAGACGGGTCACGGATCAGGACGTTCTGAACCAATCCTTCTGTCATTTTAATTAGACTGGATCCTTCAGCTCTCCGGGTCAAACGAAGCGCTGCTTGAAACGGACTCGGCTGTTCTTCATGTTTTTATTCTCTGTGCATAATGTAAGATGTCTGAAAACAGAAATCTATGACGCTTTGGTTCCAACGCTGGCTCCTCTGTAGAAGAAGAATGAGGTCACCGGGTTACGAACCACTGAAGGACAAAGTTTTTGATTTCTCTTTAGAGCGGAGAAAAGAAATGTGAAATATTTATCTTTGAGTCCTCACTGATTTCACATCTACAGAAAACTACCTGCCTGTTGTCTGAGAGTATTTGTATTTTTTATTTGTATATTTTTTCATACTGTTGAAGGCCGTTTGTGGATGTGCTGAAGTGACTTTTCTAAGTGTAGATATGAAATTTCTCCTTCCAGTCATCACTTTGTTATTGACACGTTTTGTTAGTTGGTGGTGTTCATTTCTTGTCTCTGCTTGTTGCTGATTAGATATTGGATCCGATGTCAGTGGCTCCTCAGCCTGCTGATCGATGAAGACGAGGATGAAGCCCTCTGTTTTTACCGGTGATGAAGGCCGTTTTGTTATAATCAGGACCGCCACGTTCCCATGCAGCAGGACGGTGTTAGCTCAAGCTGTGAAAACGTTTCTGCTTTGGATGCAGAAACATGAGAAAGGAACCGAGTGGACCCAGAGACACGGACCGCCTCTGGTGTTCCCAACACCGGGGCGGTCCGTTACTGGATCGGATCGGCCGGCACTTACCCCACCCCCATTCTCTCTCTTTTTGTTTTTTGTTACAGACACAGAAAGAGGAACATTTCAATTCGTCCAGGTTTAAGAAAGTATCAAGAAAAGAGATCGTTATGGTTGTAAAGGTCCCTCATGTGGGATTTGGTGCCACCTGGTGGCTAAATTGCAACTGGTGCAAATCGAAAAGTCACGATGCGCCGATATGACAGTTTTTCAGCCAATATTAATATCAGATATTAAGTTCTAGATATTGTAAATTTTTCTGTCCTTCAGGCACCATGAGACTCCACTGCAGTTACAGATCCAACCCCCCCGAAACGCCAACATGCATCTATTTGATCCCGATCAGAATCTAATATAATGTTAAAAACCAGTCATGATGTTCAGACTGACATATCGCGCTTCGCTAATCAAAGGTTTCAGCAGAAACTGAAAAAAGTTTGTAATTCTGACGGTTTTTATCCTTATAAATTAACAGAACTGCTGGAGATACGGCGCCATCTTGTAAATCCTGCAGCACCCCACTGAGGGTGGGTAAAGGTAAGCTCCAGAGCTTAGAATAGGGAGAAGCTTCCAGACACATAAACATAGAAAATAATGTGGAAACAAGGGAAAAAATCCCTGGAAATGAGCATGAAGCTGTTATTTGGTGTTTTCACTCAGGAACATTAAAGTAGAACTTCTTCACTTTTCCACTGAGCTGCTTCTGGGTCTCCTGCAGCTCCGTTCTGTGACCCACAGAGAGAAGTTGAAACTGTCGGTGGTCTGCAGCTGTTTGCAGATGTAGGGCCGGCTGCTAGCGGCGCCCCCTGCTGGTTGCACTGTGTCCAGATGTGCTGAATGTTTAGTTATAGGTACCTTTTTTTTCTGACCTATTTATGTTACGCAGCACTTTTTCCCGGCCTGAATGCGTCAATGTTCACCCTGAAGGACTTTGTCAAAGATTTTTCTTTTATTTCTGATTTCATTCTCAACACGTTGTCGCAATGATTTTTAGTCTATAATGGAGAAAATCACATCGAATGTCAAACACTTTTATTTCAGTTGTGTGTCTTTATTTTCAGCTCCACTACACTCTTGTCCAAACTATGCATGGGAAATAAAAAGTTCTGAGAGACACTGATTCAGAGTGTTTGTTCTGCGTACCTGAGAGCAAGTCCTTGACTGCTCACAGTCACTCGGTTTGTTTGGAAACGTCACAAATAAAAGGCTGAATGATTCATCGGCTTTCCTTTAGAAACAACCTGCATAGAAGAGAAAGCTATCAGGGCCGAACCGATCACACAGAAGAGCTAAAGGAAAAATAGTTCTGAGAGGGGAGTCTTACAGCAGAAGTTAGTTTATTGTCGACCTGGAAGCAAAATTCAGGACATTAGCTTTTAGTTTTACTTAATTAAAACATAAAAGAAATATGATTCATTTTGCTTTAGATAAAAGGATTAACGCAGAAATCTGAGGTTTAAACAGGAATAGTCTGGTTTAATATTTGGACTTGATGCATTTGCTGTTTTGGATCAGTTTGCAGATACAGCAGGACAATGATCCAAAGTACTAGTTAGGTCCTCTGAATCGTTACAATGAAGGGATTGGCTTGGCCTACTTAAAATAAATGAGCTTAAACAGGTTGTAAATATTGGAAAAGTCTCCACACTGAAAAAATTATCTAGAAATAAGTAAAACATTTTTAGATTAAGTGCTTTTACCCTGAATTTGAGTAGGCAACAGTTTGCCAATGGAATGGTATTTTTACTCTTAAAATAACATGATTAGATAAAATGCACATGAAATAAGACAATGCAATTGTTTTTTCTTATTTTAATGTAAATTGCCTTGTTCCTTTGGTAAATTGTCTAATTTTCTTTCATATTTCAAGAAAATATGCACTTATTTTAAGAACGAATAACTTATGTAGATTAAAATTTTTGCAGTGCAGCGAGGCTGAAATCTAATAATCTTTCCACAAACTTCCTCAACTGCAAGATATTCCAGATGTTTCCCAAAGAAGCTGCTCTTTGGATTCATTCAATTCAGTTTATTTCTATAGCGCCAATTCACAACACGTCATCTCAAGTCAATTTACAGTTCACCAGATCATCCAGTCAGATTGATTCAGTTTTCTATCTAAGAAAAACCAGTTGATTGCATCGACTTATTGACTCGAAGGCAATCTCTAACACTAAGCATGCTTGTAGCGACAGTGGAGAGGAAAAACTCCCTTTTAACAGGAAGAAACCTCCCGCAGAACCAGGCTCAGTGTGAGCGGCCATCTGCTGAGGCCCACTGGGGTTCAAGGAGACAGAAGCAGAGATACAAAAAGCAGCTGGAAAAGGCGGCCCCGTCCAGGAAACACACAGCCAGGCAGACGAGCTCCGAGCCAGCTCCCATGTCAGAGGATGAAGAGAGCACATCCAGTTAGTCACAGTCAGAGAAACAGGACTACACTGAAAAACAGGCCTCCAGCATCTATAACTGAAAGTGGCAGCAGCACAGCTGATGTTTCTCTCCAGGATGGAGTCACAGCCAAACAGGAACAGACCAGATGAAGCTACTATGAGAAAAAGATTAACTCAGATTATTTTCAATCCAGGTTAAAATTTGCTCCATGAATAGAAATCTTCCAGTTTCATAGTGAAGTTTGACACAGTGTGAGATGAAGATGATCCATGTGACGCTGGGTGGAAACGAGCCTTGTTCAGCTAACTTTAGGGGTTTCTGCTCACATATTTCACTGTGTCTTAGAGTCGGTCAGTCTTTCAGCTGGCAACCTTCAACCAAACGCCGGAGCCAAGGGCACTGGAGGCAAACAGGTGTTTGTACCTGGTGAGCAGCTGCAGGAAGCCCCTTTAGCAGCGCTGTGTTGGCTGTCAGGGCGCGTTAGCCTCAAAGATGAATCTGTGACGTGTTTCTATCCACCAGCTGACAGCTATGATCCTGCAGCAGCTCCAACATCAACACTCCCAGGAGGGCGCTCCAAAATGCAGCATGCTTTTCTCTGCTGTAAAAAAAAATCCAAAATGTTGCCCTGATGAGAAACGATCAGCCTGATGATCATATCAACAAGATCATTTCTGATCAATGAAGGGAGATTTGGTTATTGATCGTCTCTGAGCAGGAACACGTTGCTGGGAGTGTTAAAAAGGAACATCTCTGCTGTGAGAGGAAAACTCAGCTCCGAAAGCATGAAGGTTAAAGAAAGCAGACCTGAAGTGAGACTGAGGAGAAGCTCTGAGGGATCAGATCATGTCTTCAAGCTTCAGTTTCCTGACAGCCGCCGTGTCTGGGATGTCCTGCAGAGCTTCGTTTGTTCAGATCTGCTCAAACCGACCAATGAGGAGCTCAGAGGAGACGGCGAGGTCTGACTGGAGACTGGTGGAGAAGATGAACCCTGAACCTCCAGAGGAGCCTGTCTGTCACAGCTCCCCTCTAAGGGAGGAGAGCTGATGCTTCAGAACCATGATGGGAATAAGACCTCTGCTTTGAAGATAGCAGATTTACAGGGAATCAAAAGTCCAAAAAACCCTGAAACATAAAATATAAACATATGGAATATAGAGTTCATCTAAAGTTGATTGATCATATCAATTAGAATCAGTTAACTAATAATCGTCCATTTCCCTAAAAACAGTTTCCTCTTTTATCAGAGGATCATTCCCAAACATTAGGGGTTTGTTTTAAAAACAGATACTGAATTACAAAAAAAGGAAAACATCATATTAACAAGTTAACGTGCCGCTAAATTAAATACTGACTGAATAAATAAAAATGATGGGTTTGTCCCACAATATTACAACTGAGACGTATTTTAAATTAAATGAGAACCTTTCTGGTTCCTGAATAGAATTGAATCTGAAAGGTTTCTATTCCTCCATGAAGAGATGAAAACTATCATTAGAGACAGAGGATGTCGCTTTAACACGCTGTCAGACTTTACCGCCGCTTCCTGTCTGTGAGGAAAGCTCTCAATGGAAGTGGAGGCGGACCTGTTTCTCTCAGGAATGCTAGAACCTGCTCCATAAAGCCTCTATCTACCGTCCTCAGTGGTATCTTGTCTTCTTCTGTAATGTCCTCAACCTTCTAGCTCTCTGAGATCGTCGGCCATGTTGGATGGAGAAGGAGGTGCTGCTCCACCATGACGCCCGGCTGACTGGCCTCTATTTGGATCATAACTAAACAACCTCATAGACTGTTTATATTTAGAGTCAGAACCATAAAGTTCATCCTGCATCATGTCTGACCTAACAGGAGAAAATGATCCAGATCTGTGAGGATAGATTCACCTTACTGCTTTTCCTCTACTGTAAGATGAATATTTCTATAATGATTTGGCTCTGACTAACGATGGATTTCTTTGTGGTGACCAAAACAGACTGTTAAAAATCCTCCCAGCAGATAACTTCAGACAGAATAGTTTAAATCCAATAAACTATTGAGGCTGATTTATACTTTGAAACCAGGTCGTCTGCGTTTTTGTCGCAGGGAACGCAGAGATGCTTCCGCAGACATTCTGCTGCACCCAAACTGTAGGTAACCGCAGGAAGTGCCGCAGACAGGAAGCCGCTGATTGGTCAAATCTACATCCTCTCTACACTATGCGTATTTCCTGTTTGGTTCCTTACTAACTTGTTTTGTTTGTATGACCGCCATTGAGGAAAACGCCTCGTGAAGATGGACCAGCTAAAAGAGCGAGGTGCGTGAGAATGCTGGAACCCTTTTTCACCTGGATCATCGCACTTTTTGGTCCTCATGTCCCTCTGTCGTCGCACAAACTAGTTCTGTATTTACCCCTTTTGCGTTGTGGCGTGAAATAAACATAGCGCCACATCAAAAATGTCTGCATCATACCTGCAACAAGCCCACTGCGACACTGCTGCGGGAGTATAACCAGCCCTTTAGGTCATATCAGGCCAGTTGATCCTTTGTTCACTGGAGCTGAAGGTAAGACTGTAGAAGCTTCCAGGTGGATGAGTTTCTGAGGACATAGAGCTGCTAGTGATGGCGCTAATGCTTCTTTATGGTATATAGAATTGGGTAAAATAATTTACCAGCAGATGGAGACAATGTTTACGTCTGCTGTTCACTCACAGGTGCACTTCAGCCCTAAAGAGGACAAATTAAACTGTCATGACGAATGCTTGATTGAGCTTAACTAGAAGATGAATGTCTGGCTTTGGTTTCATTGCACATGAATGGATCCCTTTAACAGTAACTATATCCAGAACCTAATAAAGGAAAGAATGGACCAATGTAATAAGAATATTAGGGACGCACGATATAATCGGCCCCCTATCGGTATCGGCCTGTATCGTCCTTAAAACTGAATATCGGA